CTGTATAGCCTGGTGCTTCCCTAATAAACCCCATAATCTGTGAGTTCTGTGTGGCCACTGCAGTGAATTACTGAACCCAGCAGAGATGGTAGGTGCTGTGGGAGGAATGGTTGGTGTCAGGGCTGGAGGGAGGTGGCATGTCTGGCCTCATAGAAATAGGCCTTGGGCTACTTATGGTGATTCTGTCTTCCTCTTGTGGGATTAGAAGAGGTCAGATGATGTGGCCTCCTTGCCCCTTTGGCAACAAGTTTACAGAAGCCCAAGGCTGACCAATAACATGATTTTAGTTATTTATTTATTATTTGTTCATTACTTCCCCTTAGGTCATGAGTCAAGGAAAATTCTTGTGAAGATGAATATAAAGTAAAACATCAACTCTGCCACTTCAGAATTTCACAAGGAGGTAACTCCCAAATCATATACAACATCATGATCAATCACCTTGAATCAAAACTCAATAAAGAACATGAAGAGTATCAAGTGTTAGACAAAAATGAGGTTCCCCAAAATTGCCTTGTCCATCCATTGATTTTGGCTAAAATCAATATCTATTTGGTGCCACATACTGTGCAGAAGTTAACACAGCAGGCCTGAACTGCTATCCTTGGAAAGGCCTACTTGCAAGGATGGTCCCTGTCTAGCATCTGGGAAACTAGACTTCAGGAGGGTTACCACAATTAAAACTAAACTGTACATTGTGGTTTATATCAAGGACATGTTTTCCTTCTGTGACTCTGGAATTTGGATATGTGCCAGGCAGGGGGTATCTATGTGGCCATCCTCCAATAAAAACCCTGGGCACTAAATCTCTAATGAGCTTCCCTAGTTGGCAACATTTCACATTTTGTCACAACTCACTCCTGGAGGAATTAGGTGCATCCTATGTGACTCCACTGGGAGAGGACCCTTGGAATCTTGCACCTGGTTCCCCCCAGACTCTACCCCATGTGCATTTTCCCTTTGCTGATTTTGCTCTATATCCTTTCACTGTAACTGAGTATGACTATATGCTAAGTCTTGTGAGTTCTTCTAGCAAAATCACTGAACCTGAGGGTGGTCTTGGGGACCTCCAAATACATATGTACATCATCTTGACTACATAACGAATCCAGCTCACTGTTATCTGTATCTAGTCACTGTTTATCTCAAGGTCTTTCAGAAGTACCAATTCATTAGAAATGCTTTTGGCTGCAAGTAACTAAACCACCAAATAACAGTGAATTGAGCCAACAGATTATTTTCTTCCCTCAAGACTTCAAGATTAGTTCAGCAGCCGAGCAATGATGAACTGGGCTGGGAGTCCCTGTGACTCTCTGGACTAACCCCTACAGTCTCAAGATGTTAGCTACAATTACTGTTGATGCATCTAGATGTGACAGCACATGAAGCTGGAAGGAAGGGAGTGCATGGAGCAAGAGCTTCACTGACATTTCTGGTAACTTGGTCCTAAGATCACAGAACAGTCTTTGGTAAGAGAATTGGGTTATTTATCTCCCTATCTATACTCCCAAGCTCTGCTCACTCAGAACAGCCTTTAGTGATGCTCTCCTCTCAAATACTGAACATTACTTTTTGGTCAGTGTGTTGCTCCAGAGCTTGAATTTGGGCCCTGGGCTAGCCACGGGAGGAGATATGAGTGGTTTAAGGGTTTCTCTGGGGATGGAGATTCCCCATCATCTGTACCCCACAGCAGGAGCCCCTACTCGAGCCTTAAGTTGTTCCTGTACCAGTCTGGCACTCCAAGTATTCAACACCTCTGCTCACTGTTTGTGGGAGACAACCTGATGTACAGAGAGAGAGGCTCAGGGAGAGGCTTCCATGAGGAACCGGCAGAGTCATGCAGCCCAGTATGATGAAACACCTGTGGTACAAGCCAACATTCCCCACCTCAAATCCTCCATTGCCACCTCCCTGGTGCAAGTCCCCTCATTGTTCCCCTGAACTACTGGTATCCTGATTGTGCCTCTGCTTCCACCATTACCCCCTAGTCTATTCTCTACACAGCACCCAGAGGGTTCCTGTTAAAACCCAAATGAATTCCCATCCATCTGCTCAAAAACCTCCAGTGACACACCCCTCACTCAGAGACAAAGCCAAAGTCCTCAACATTACCCATGAAGCATGATCTGGCCTCTCTGACCTCATCTACTACCACCCTCTAATCCAACCACACTGGCCTATGTCCACTCTAGCGCATCCCAGCCTCAGTGCCTTTGCACTGGCTTTTCTGTCTACAGTGTTTTTCCCCACACTTTGACTTCCTTCCTCCCTTCATTCAGATCTTTTTTAAACTTCACTGTCTCAGAAAGGCCTTCCCAGATCACATCACCAAAAGCCCAACCTCCTACTCCCACAAGTCTATCTCCGTCCTGTCCCTGTTTTAGTTTTCTTCACAACACTTTAGTTAACTTATTTTATTGTTATGTGTTTATTGTTGATATGTCTCCAGGAGAATGTAAGCCCCACGAGGGCAGGAATTTATGTCAGTTTAGGTCACAGCTATATCCCCAGTGCCTAGAACAATTTTTGGTACACAGTAAGTACTCAATAATGTTTGATGAATGCATGCCTGTGTAAAACATTTAAAGTAATGCCTATGACACAGCAGATTTTCAATAAATGCTTGCTGAATAAATAAATGAATGAGTAAATGAACCACATTCCATCTTGGGTTCTAAAGCTGCCCACTCCCACCATTCCCCCAACCAGCAGACCTGGGAGCCAGCCATCTGTACCACCACAGAAACTTTATTTACAAACTCAAGTCTGCAGTAAGAGAGGAGGGTATGGGAAAGTGGACAGTGGCAGGGCCAAAAGAACACTACTTCTGCTCACGCCTCCAGACAATGACCATACCGCTGGCATCACTGGAAGCTAGAAGGCTCTCGTCGCAGTTGAAACTGACATCAAGCACAGGTGCACTGTGGCCCTGCAGCTTGTTGACAGCAGCCTTGGCTGCCCGTTCCACATCAAAGAAGTGCACACACATGTCCTCACTGCCCGTCACTGCCCAGATGAAAGAGAGAGGACATCAGAAGGCATTGGGACCACCCAAGTGTGAAGTCTCTGATGTGTTAATGGATTTAGCCTAAGGTGTGAGCTCCCACGGTGGTTTGGAAATCTGTATCCCTAAATGGGAGGTCACTTAGCTGTCTTGGTTCTGTGCCCAGAGCTTGAGAGGTCTAAACTGGGGAGGGGCTGTGTTCAAATTACAAGTATTCTGAGCTGTTTAGAGATATGAGTCTCCACATGAGGTTGTTGGGACATGAGGGTCATGAGGCCCAGAATGTCAAGGCATCAGGTACCCTGATAGCTGAAGCCAGATTAGTGCCAGCCGTGGTCTCTACTCCTCCCCAGCCACCCCAATATTCTAACACTGTGGGACTCACCCACACAGGCCCCCTGGCGGAAGGACATGAGAGGGCAGAAGATGCTGCGCACAGGGTGTGAGCTCTGCTCAATGGGGAAGCTTCTCTTTAGCTGCAGGGTCCCTTCGTTGTCCACCACCCTAAGGACAGGATGAAAAAGTGGGTTAGGATACAGCCTCAGCCCCAGAAGGGAGACCTATGTAGGCCAGTCTTTGTGCTTACCCTGCACTATTATTATTTTCAAAATTCACAAAATCCAGTGTGGAGACAACTGCAAAAACCTGTAAAGTATGACTGATGTGTGAGTTAGTGTCAGTTCAGAAACGGTATCTGGTGATACTGATAGGAAGCCTCTGTAATTTAATCCACTAGTTTTTCTTTCTAAGTGTCACTAAAAAATCCTGGTGTGATGACGGGCACAGAGAAAGAAGCGGCTGAACAAACTGTGACACATCTACACTGTGGAATATGGTGGTGGTTGCTGTTAGCTGCCATCGAGTCGATTCCAACTCATAATGATCCCATGTATTCAGGGCAGGACTGTTCCACAGGATCTTCAAGGCTGTGAACCTTTTGAAAGCAGATCACCAAGCCTGTCTTCCAAGGCACTTCTGGATAGTTTCGAACCACTGGCCTTTCAGCTAGTAGTTGAGTGCTTAACCATTTGCGCCACTCAGGGATTTTGGAATACTACACAGACATTAAAAAGAATAAACTAAAACTATTGCATACAGATTTCCACAAGGTATCATCTGACAAGAAAAATGAGATATGGAAAGGAACACATAAACATAAGGAACCCATTTCTGTAAAGCAAAAATATGTGGGGATATGCATATGCCTAGGACCATATGATAGAAAACAAACTATGGAAAGATACACAAAATTGTTAACATGCTTTAATGGGTCTGCAATAATGGGCTCAAGTGTAGCAACGATTGTGAGGATGGCACAGGACAAGGCAATGTTTCATTCTGTTGTACACAGGGTTGCTATGAGTCAGAACAGACTCAACAGCACCTAACGGTAATTGTGGCAGGGGGAGGGCTAATGTGGCAGGAGGACATAGGAGAGAAAGGAGAGGATCGGAGACTAGGCAAAAAAGCTTAAGAGTATACTTAAATTAAAAATTAAAAGTATGTATATATCTCAAGGGAGCCCCTGGGTGATGCGAAGTTTACATACTTGACAACTAGCCAAGAGGTTGGAGGTTCAAGCCCACCCAGAGGTGCCTTGGAAGAAAAGCCTGGTGATCTACATCTGAAAGATCAGCAATTGAAAACCCTATGGAGAGCCTAGCTACTACTGCCAACATCTCTGAAAGGGATCACCACAGACGGTCCTGAATAGAGTAGAAGAAAAATGTGGGGAAAAAAATTAAGGCCATCGTTAGATAGATAGTGATAAATATTGATTTGGGTGAAGAGAAGGGCAACGTACCAAATGTGAATGACCAGTATGACAGCAATGAGGATGAGAAAGACATAGAGAGGTACATGGGAGGTACAGACAACAAATATGAACCCTTTTGCA